CAGAGAAGAAGACGATTTTTGACGCATGACGATGGACGACGGACGCCGGAGCATCCCCCTTTGATACTAATAGCTCACCCTGAGCCTTCGGCTCTGGTGAAGCTAAAAACAAGGTTTACAACGGCTAAGTATTTTTTTAAATACCATTTTTGCATGTTTTGTTTAAAACTGTTTTCTAACGGACAAATCTATGCCTTGCTCTTTTTTAATACATGTACTATGACTTAAATATCTGCCAAAATTTAAAAATCAAAATACTCAAAATTTTAATCAATTTTATTTTACGAGGGTTGTTCGGAAAGTTTTGAGACTGGGTCAATATTTAGCGTTGGAAAAGATAAAATCAAACAAGAGTTTACTCTGTATTACTTTAATAGCTTCATGTATACAAAAGCTACAAAGCGTTAGGTACAGACACTACCGGTGACCCGGCGCACGCAACGACGTTATCCGACGTTGCCGTTATTTCCAGAGTTTAACGTCACCGTAGAAAAGTCAACTGCTACTCCTTTTCAAAGTATCTTCCTTCACAATGTACACATTTCTCATGCCTCGTAACCCACTTGGCGAATACATTTCTATACCAGTCAGATTTAAATGTTGCAATAATGCTTATAACTCTAGAGCGCAGTTCAACTAGGCCCTCAAACCGGATTACTCGTAGTTCGGATTTGATGGCCGGTGTTTGGCGCAATTTTAGGGGCTCTTTTTATTCAGTAAGAAAACTTATAACAAGAAAATAGTCCGGGGCGCCAGGGCGGACGGGTGTTGCTAGGGAAAACGTTATATTGCTGTTAAGTAACTTTACAACGTTTTAAAGCCCAAAACCCGGGATAAATAACATTTAAGCAAATTTTATAATAATTTCGTAGGAAAAAACAGAAAAAATCATATTGCTAAAAAACTTTCCGAACAACCCTCGTATGATCCAAATACGCTGTAAAATGCAATGTAGAACATACATATATATTTCAAAAACAATCGTACGATGCATCAATAATTGATTAATTATCTTAAACGTTCTGTAATATATGTACTCGCTAATGGTCAGCTAGTAGTAGCCACTAGCTGATAAGCCCCAACTAAATTCACCTGAAAGTATCATTAGTAAATAGACTTAGAAACCGAACGGCTGCGCTGTTTAATATCTCTTTTATTTAATGCTTGTCCAGATACTATAATATAGCAGACATTATAATGTCGACCAGGTCGATTGGATAATACTTTTACTAATTCAGTTAATTCTAGAGGACTTGTTAATAATAAGTTCAGTGATAAAGTTATTGTGTCTATTTTCAAGAATCAAGGATTAATATAAATATTTCAAGATGGCACCTTTTGATCTGCCAACGCCACAACCTTTCAAACTTATTGGGCAAAGTACCAACTTATCCAGTTCATGGGACAATTACATCAAACGTTTTGAATATTACATACATGCAGCCGGAATAACAAAAGACGAAAGAAAAAAGCTCTCCTATAACATATTGGACGAGAAGAATAAAAAGACATATACTAGACAACAATCCGTCAAGACAATTCATACAGCCAAACAGTCAGAGAGTTAACACATTACTTCAATCCAAGGAAAAATATAGCATATGAAAGACATAGATTTAGACAGGAAAAACAATACTCAGATGAAACTGTAGACGATTACATTGTGAGACTAAAAAAACTCTCAATATCTTGTAATTTTCCAGACAACACTGCAGAAGATATGATACGCTACCAAGATATTGAACACTGTACCTCAAAAGAATTAAATATCAGATTTCTTTGCGAATAAGATCTGGTATTAGAAAAAGTTCAACATATTGCCCGCACAACAGAACTTGCAAACTTACATGACAATGCAATATAACGGTCTACAAGAAATCAACAATAATTAGATTATACCTATCAAGATGACGTAAACCATATTAAAAACAAACCAACTAGACAGCGAAAGCAGTACCAGCCAAGAGCCAGACCAGCTCCAAAACCGACACAATTTAAGAGCTTATACCGTTGCGGAGGAAAAGGTCATTCTGGTCTGTAATCTCATAATATTACGTGTCGTAAATGCAACAAGCTTCGACATTATGCAAATATGTGCAAATCCCGAAAAAGCCAAGTGCACTACGTGATGATCATCAAGAAAATGTAAATATACAAGACGAATGTGTATTCAAAATAAATTCAAAATATCAGTCACCATATGTGCAAGTTGAAATCGAAGGAATTAAATGTAAATTGCTCATAGATTCTGGAGCTAGTGGTAACTGCCTAGATCGCGCAACCTTTGATAAAAAAAACGAAATCAACATCACTCAACTAATGTCATTCAAAGATCTATTCTTATGCTAAAAAAATACCTTTGAAAGTTCTTGGAATTGCAGAAATGAAAATGAAATTAAATGAAAAGGAAGTAAAAATAAAATTTCACATAAAGAATGCACACCACTATTTGGACAACAAACCGCAGTTGATCTAGGGTTACTTAAATTATGCATAAATTATGTGAAAACAAATCACAATAACATGGAAAATATTTTATCAGAGTTCAGTGACAGATTTCAAGGATTGGGAAAACTCAAAGATTTCCAGGTTCATCTACAAATCAACAAAGATAAGCCCATTGCACAGCCAAATCCCAGAATACCTTTCAAAATGCGACAGCAAGTCAGAGAAAAAATAAAACAACTACAAGATTCTGACGTCATAGAAAATGTTGAAGGTGCTACATCATGGGTGTCACCCCTGGTTATTATTCCAAAAAGGAATGGTGACATTAGAATGTGTGTAGACATGAGACAAGCAAATACAACAGTTGAACGTGAACGGATTTCAATGCCAAACATTGACGAAACACTAGAAAAACTTAGTGGAGCCAAATTCTTCACTAAACTAGATCTAAACATGGGGTATCACAATATAGAGCTTGACCCACAATCAAGAAAAATAACAACATTTGTAACAAACGACGTAATATATCGCTATCGTCGACTTATGTTTGGAATTTCCTGTGCTTCAGAAGTCTACCAACGTATAAAACAACATACACTTCGAGACATACCGAACTGAAAAAAATATGTCTGATGATAAACATGTACTATATGACACAACAAAAGAACAACATGACGCCACATTGCGTAAAGTTCTAAAACGCATTAGAGACAAAAACCTAACGCTGAACAAAAGTAAATGCGAATTCTGAAAGACAACCATCACATGTATGGGTTACACCTTCACCGCTGATGGACTTATGCCACATGATGACAAAATACAGGCAGTGCTAAAAACAACATAACCCAAAAATGTGAAAGAAGTTAAATCTTTCTGAGGACTGCTAAACCACTGCTCAAAATTCCTTCCGAATTTCGCAACAATTCAGAAAACTAACAAGAAAGAATGTTCCGTTTGACAGGGAAAAAGAATCTGCGTTTGAACAATCAAAACCATTGATAACAAGTGCAAGTGTAACGGCTTTCTACATCTCAGAAGCTGAAACAACTCTTATGGTTGATGACCAAATGATGGACATTTAAGACCTGTAGCATATGCAAGCAGAACACTAAATAATGTAGAAAGGCGATACAGTAAAATTGAAAGAGAATGCTTAGCAGTAACGTGGGATAAAGGTATGTTTCACACTTATTTGTTTGGATTAACATTTAAAGTAATTACAGACCATAAACCGCTAGTCAACATTTTCAAGCCAATACACAAACCTCAAGCTAGACTAGAAAGAATGCTTCCTAGACTACAAATTTTACAAATTCAATATAGAATTTCAATCAGGATAATTAAACCCAGCTGACATCCTCTCAAGGCCGACATATAGACCTTTTTACGACGCGGTCCGTTGCTATGAAAAATCGACCGGAAGTAGTATTTCCCCGCACATGAGCAATCGGCCTAGGGCAAAAAGGCATAGTCTAACATAGAATCATAGAAGAAGTTCATAGACAATTCCGAGTTAGTTTTAGGTAAAAGGTAGAAAATTATATAAAATAGCTTTAAACAAAATAGAAAAGATTTTATTATAGCTTTGTTGTTAAGATTGCCATAAAAAGGCACGGAAAAAGAAAATTGTTTAAGAATTCCCCTTTACGGTGGGTCCGCTTACGGTTTCGGACCTGACATTGAGAATTTTTTAGGAAAATGTGGAATTATATCTTTTATTCAAATGGGAGTCAACTAAATTGTTGTTGAAAAAGTTCATAAAAAAATATTTTTTTTATAACATATGAAATCGAGGTTAATTAGCATTCTGAAAATAGTCAGAACAGGTCAGGTGATAATGCATTTTTAGTGTTCAGTTTACCTGATTTTATCCTTTATTTGACTGTGATGCAAAACAGATAATTCTTAAGTCACATAAATATATTTTAAATAGTTATTTTTTTCAAAATCTTTAAGGAAAGTGAAATAACATTCATTACATCCAGTTCCTTGTAACACATGTTAATATTTTTAATGCAAGTCACACTGATTGTCACTTCACAAAATCAATAAATATTGATGAGATCGGTATATATTAAAGTTACTTAAATTACGATTTTCATAATTGTGCGTGATTACTATGTCATGGTTCTAAAACGTCCCGGTTGAATGATATTTATACAATATCTAGCTGGAAACAAACAACCACGGTCGCGTGTCAATCTGTTTGACACTTGTCGCCTGGCCAATCCAAAGGAAGTGTACAATACACATTGTGTAATAATATGTAATACAGGGGTAATAAAATTTAATCTTTAACACCCTGCTGTGTCTTTTGTAAGCGCCTTTTGACCATTGAATTATTAGTCCTGCATATTTATTATATCTGATATAAATATCATTTGACGTTTTAAGTACTTACCGCTTTGAGTCATCCCAAAATTACTGTTTTCTGGTTGATATAACATGGAATCACGACTTTTAAAGCCTTAAAGTATCATACAATGTTGTCAATTTTATTGCGCTTTTGCCCTACGCAGAATGCGCATGCGCGAAATGCAACATTGGTTGCTATGGAAGAATCGTATTGTAAAAACGTCTATAGTCAAGAAAAATGTGAGATATCAAATATCACAGAAGGTTACATGGATTATGTGTGCGAAAATGCCGTGACAATGGCTATGACCCTGGATCAAATTGATAAAGAGTCACCTCAGGACAAATTCATTCAAGAACTAATCAAGTGCATTCAGCATGATGAATGGCCGAAACATCAGAATTCCAAGATGTTCTACAAGTTACGCAATGAAGTGTATGTTCATAATAACATTGTGTTACGGGGCAACATAATTGTAATTACACAGGGACATAGGCCAAAAGTATTACAAATAGCACATGAAACACACCAAGGCATAGTGAAAACAAAGCAAATACTAAGAGAAATAGTTTGTTGGCCTGGCATTGACAACGAAATTGAAATGCTGATTAAAACGTGTTTCCAGTGCCAGCTTGTTTCAAACCCGTCACAACAACTTCCTATCACACCAACAGAATTACCAGAAACACCCTGGCAAATTGCTGGGATGGATTTAACAGGACCGTTCCCAGGGGGAGAATATATTCTTGTAGTAATAGATTACTACTCTCGTTATCCAGAAGTTGAAATCATGAAATCAATCACTTCAAGATGTATCATTCAAAGACTTATGCAAATATTTGCCACACATGGACTTCCCTCAGTGATCAAAACGGACAATGCACCAAACATGGTATCTCAAGAAACCACAAACTTCTTTACTGCAAACGGAATTAAACATCAGCGTGTTACGCCTTATTATCCACAAGCAGCAGGATTGGTAGAAAATTTCAATAAAACAATAGCAAAATGCGTTAAGACTGCTAACAATAGAAAGAAAAAATGGTGAAAAGAAATCTACAAATTTTTATTGACGTATCGAACAACCCCTCATGTATCCACAGGATCTGCACCTGCATCGTTGTTATTCAACAGTAAGATTTGGAATAAACGACCGCACTTTGAAAGAAAGAAGAATTACACAAAGTAAGGAAAATGAACTCGTAATGAAGAAATACGCAGACAGACGGGCAAATACTCAGATAATAACATAAAAACTTGGACAGAAAGTGCTGATTCTAAACAAGAAACTAGGAAAATTAAACTCAAAATGGAATAATGAAAAATGCATTGTTATTGGACAACTTGCATGTTATTCTTCTGAGAAAAAGGCAGATATATTGACTCGCAATCTCATTAAAATCAGATCATCGTTTTCGCTCCGTTACTCTTCGCTACGAGCGTAAAGTAGTGGAGCGACAGTTAGGAAATGATTTTAATGAGATTGATTGAATTGCTATTGGTCAGAAAGATATTTGAGGACTCTTACAGACACTGAATAATTTATGATAAATGTGTATATACATGTACATTCAATAAGCGACTATTTATTTGGAAACGTGGAATTTATTGAAAGACTGTCCTACGAACGCTTAGCTATTTACTCGCTGTCATGGCTTTTACACACTGCATTACAGTTATAGCTCGTAAGAGACATAAATGTCATCAATATGGAAAAAAAAGTGTAATTATAAAACTGTAATGAATGTAACCAGAACTTTAAGATATGATATTTGTTAATCGATAAATAGAATGCTTGTAAGTTATTTTTGATTATGTTTTAATTTAAGTTATCATTCAATTTCAGCTTTGTTTTGCTTTAATCAGTCCTGATAAGTTTGGGATTGTAAGCAAAATAAAAATGTGAGGTTCGGAGAAAATTTTTAAAAAGTAGTCTTTTCATTGAAAAGTGTGAAATTATCAAATTTAACTTTCACGGATAAATCTGTATTCCACTCAAAAGCAAAAAATAAATGTTTTTGTTGTAATAGTTATTGTTTATGTTTGATTTTTAAATCCTGTTTACGAGGTGCGGGGGGATGTTAAGTCACACCAACACAGTATAGGTTATATAGCGAGTTTCCATCTTTACTGGCAAAGGAACACCTCAGGAGCTTACCCAGGAAAGAAGCCAAGGTATCGATGGGAGGCGAACCCATCCAGGTAAGAGCAAGTGGTTAAAAGCAAACGAACTTAAGCACTCGGTTAATGACGCACTAACTGCTTCACATCATAACATACTTATTCCCAAACACCGCACAAATTATGGTAAATCAATAATGCAAAGTTTTGGAATAGACTACTATATTAACAAATAAATTTTAAAAAAAACAACATATATTGCTGATCAGATAAATAACATCATAACTATGCTGTTCTAATATAATACTTATTATGGGTGTATATTTAAGAAATAATATCGGCCTGAGAGGTGTATATCGGCTATTTAACACCGGTTTGGAGTTTTGATGCGTAGGATTTGATCACGAAGGCCGTAGGCCTGAGTGGTTAATTTTGTCGCATCAAAACGACAAAACCGGTGTTAAATAGCCGATAAACACCTCTCCGGCCGATGCTATTTCGATTCTAACACGATAAAATAAGGAAATTTTATTTTTCAAGCGGAAATAACTTCTGGTGCCGATTTCGTATAAAGCTGTTCGATTTTCGCACCCTACTGTTGCAAAGATATAGAAATTATCATACAAAAGAAATAATAAGAAAAAAAACGTTATTTTATCAAGTTTTCAACAATAAAAACTTACGTCGTATTGTATTTACATCAGTGCCCCATTTATCATTCTTGTATTATGAAATAACGTCAGCTTTAATCAATGATGTTATATTTTCGATCCTTGAAGATCGTTCAGCACGACATTATTGTTTTGCTTGTGGTATTTTTTGTTTCAACTTTTCGGCATTTTCTATTTGGGTGGTTCCAATATTCCTACTTGAATAATGTTGAATCACCCTTAGGATATGTTGCCTGCTTTTTAAATTTGTCTTTTGACGTCTTATCTGTGATATGCAGGCTTCATAACCTCAGATCCCCTTTCAAAATTCCATTTTATTTAGTTCCGCCCATTGTTTTCTCGTTTCGGGCACATGCATTCTTTTATTTGGGGACCATACTTCGCTTTTAATGGAATGGCACTACTGTGTCAAATTGAAGGTTCCATGTTAACCGCCGTATGAACACATCTGCGGATGTTTCTAAATTCAAAATGTCACCATTTCCGTGTTCAAATAATGATTTCTGATTAACCGGTGCTAAGGGGCCTGTACGGTTACTAGCACTTCCATTACCGTCCATATACATGCTCAATCAAACCGAGCCTGCAACATTTTCAATTTTGCCGTGTTGGGCTTTCTTTAGGGATTCTGTATTTTATCTATTTTATGATCACATCCGTGTTATTTTTGCCGTGTGGCGGCTGTAAAAAGTCTCCCCGTACATTTAATCAATGATGTTATATTTTCGATCCTTGAAGATCGTTCAGCACGACATTATTGTTTTGCTTGTGGTATTTTTTGTTTCAACTTTTCGGCATTTTCTATTTGGGTGGTTCCAATATTCCTACTTGAATAATGTTGAATCACCCTTAGGATATGTTGCCTGCTTTTTAAATTTGTCTTTTGACGTCTTATCTGTGATATGCAGGCTTCATAACCTCAGATCCCCTTTCAAAATTCCATTTTATTTAGTTCCGCCCATTGTTTTCTCGTTTAGGGCACACGCATTCTTTTACTTGGGGACCATACGCCGCTTTTCATGGAATGACACTACTGTGTCACATTGAAGGTTCCATGTTAACCGCCGTATGAACGCCATCTGCGGATGTTTCTAAATTCAAAGTTCACCATTTTAGTGTTTAAATGTTGAATTCTGCTTAAGCCGGTGCTAGGGGGCGTGGACGGTAACTTGCAACTTCCATTACCGTCCATGAACAGGCTCAATCAAACCGAGCCTGCAACATTTTCAATTTTGCCGTGTTGGGCTTTCTTTAGGGATTCTGTATTTTATCTATTTTATGATCACATCCGTGTTATTTGTGCCGCGTGTGGCGGCTGTAAAAAGTCTCCCCGTACATTTAATCAATGATGTTATATTTTCGATCCTTGAAGATCGTTCAGCACGACATTATTGTTTTGCTTGTGGTATTTTTTGTTTCAACTTTTCGGCATTTTCTATTGGGTGGTTCCAATATTCCTACTTGAATAATGTTGAATCACCCTTAGGATATGTTGCCTGCTTTTTAAATTTGTCTTTTGACGTCTTATCTGTGATATGCAGGCTTCATAACCTCAGATCCCCTTTCAAAATTCCATTTTATTTAGTTCCGCCCATTGTTTTCTCGTTTAGGGCACACGCATTCTTTTACTTGGGGACCATACGCCGCTTTTCATGGAATGACACTACTGTGTCACATTGAAGGTTCCATGTTAACCGCCGTATGAACGCATCTGCGGATGTTTCTAAATTCAAAGTTCACCATTTTAGTGTTTAAATGTTGAATTCTGCTTAAGCCGGTGCTAGGGGGCGTGGACGGTAACTTGCAACTTCCATTACCGTCCATGAACAGGCTCAATCAAACCGAGCCTGCAACATTTTCAATTTTGCCGTGTTGGGCTTTCTTTAGGGATTCTGTATTTTATCTATTTTATGATCACATCCGTGTTATTTTTGCCGTGTGGCGGCTGTAAAAAGTCTCCCCGTACATTTAATCAATGATGTTATATTTTCGATCCTTGAAGATCGTTCAGCACGACATTATTGTTTTGCTTGTGGTATTTTTTGTTTCAACTTTTCGGCATTTTCTATTTGGGTGGTTCCAATATTCCTACTTGAATAATGTTGAATCACCCTTAGGATATGTTGCCTGCTTTTTAAATTTGTCTTTTGACGTCTTATCTGTGATATGCAGGCTTCATAACCTCAGATCCCCTTTCAAAATTCCATTTTATTTAGTTCCGCCCATTGTTTTCTCGTTTAGGGCACACGCATTCTTTTACTTGGGGACCATACGCCGCTTTTCATGGAATGACACTACTGTGTCACATTGAAGGTTCCATGTTAACCGCCGTATGAACGCATCTGCGGATGTTTCTAAATTCAAAGTTCACCATTTTAGTGTTTAAATGTTGAATTCTGCTTAAGCCGGTGCTAGGGGGCGTGGACGGTAACTTGCAACTTCCATTACCGTCCATGAACAGGCTCAATCAAACCGAGCCTGCAACATTTTCAATTTTGCCGTGTTGGGCTTTCTTTAGGGATTCTGTATTTTATCTATTTTGTTTATATATGAATGAGTTGTTTACTAAGGATGACGTCATTACGCTGCTTACGGATTGGCGCCGTTTTGTCAAAATAGTTATTAACTGATATGGATCTAATATGTGGCGTTAGTGTATGTGAGATATTAGTAAGGTATTGTATGAAAAGAAAACATTATACGAACTGAACATATAAATAAAAATGTTTTTTATTGTTGCTTTAAAATGCTTTGTAAACTATACAATCGAGGATGAAAATAAAACAGCGCATATACAAGTAGTCCCTAACCGGTGTTTATTGGCAATTTAACACCAGTTTTTTTTCCTTCTTTGTCTATAGTGACAAAATTACGAGAGTGTTAGAATGTTTTTTTTTAATTATTTCTAAATGAATATTGTATGAATGGTCTTTCTTATTTAAAATGAGTGGTTGTCAAATCAATCAAATTATGTTTGTTGTCGGACCAAATCTTTATTGACTTAATGGAATAGTTGTTGTTGATTGGCGATATTGTGTGTTTTTATGTATTTTTCACAATTAAAATGATGTCCTTTGTTACTTATTACAATGTTATATTTCCATATTTAACCATCTTTAAACAGAGATTATCGCTTTATTTATTTTTAAGGAAAAACAAACATATAAAAATATACATTGTATTTGTAATGCATCACTACGGATGATCACTTGACAATTTTTTTTCAACAAATGGCTGAAGTTAAAGGTAACGTCAGTGTCATGTAAACATATCATTATATTATAAATGGAGTAAGGTTTGTTCGAAACATGAAACAACGTTTAAAATATCGTACATACCTAACACAAAAAAACAAAATCATAAAAATGTCTAAAACATTTGATCGCACTGTCTCTTCGAGTTATCAATCAATTTCCCGATTCTGGCATGACTGCTTGACCTGTGATAACAAAAATCGAAACCAATAGAGTCTTTATTAAACCATCTACATGTAAATTCGGCATTGTTGTATGTTATACGAACAAAATTGCATAAAAATTGCGCACGCCTGTATAAACTAATGGGAAGGAAACATGAAGATATGTATTAACGCTATCAGAACACCTCGGCTATTTTTATGATAACCTCAGACTTCATACGGATTGAAAGTAGTTTTACCACATGGCTTTAAATTTAAACAAAACAGAGGATGTAATCTTTGATAATGTATAACGAATGTACATACATGTAGTTGACATCCAAAGGAAAATAAAGTCAATTTCGGTAAAATTAGGATTGAAACTATGTATGCCAATCATAAACAATTAGAAAATGCAAAATGATGTAATATTGTAACAAATCCGAATTAATGTCAACTAGTAGTCATTTTGTACTTCCGGTTTGTTCAACCTTAATAATAAGTTGATAGATAATGTACAGTTCATATTTATATCTAGAAATTCATAAGAATAGCTGTAATGCATCTTGTTTCGTGCATTAACATCTGCAGAACCCCTCGGACTTAATTAAAGGCCTCGCCCTTTGAACTCGAGATGTGCTTCTGCATTAATAATGCACGGGAAAAAAGACGCACATCGCTCTATTTACATAAATGATGAGTCCATCGTAAACAAATATAAAACACTTAGGAAATTAAGAAAGAGAAAATTTCATATAAATTCAGTCTTACAATACAAGAAAACAAGTTCGAATTCATTTCAAATACCTGAAGATGTAGATGTCAGACCAAGTTTTGTTGTCTGTTTATATTTTGATGAAGAACCATTATTAGCATTATGTTTATCGTCTTGTTGTTCTTGTTGGTTTCTGTACAGTTCTGATTGGTAGACATTAAATAGAGTTTGCTATATAATTATGCCACATAAAGCAGTTACTGTATTTTATGATTAAATAAAATTGATAAAACGCATCTTTTCTTTTGTATTTCCCATAAATATTTATATAAAACTTTAAAAAGTATATAACTATCTATTGAACAAAATTAATCAATCTGCAGCATTTCAAGAATAAAATTTAAAGGTATGTTAATATTAGCACAAATGAAATTGATCATTTACACTTGTAATCAGGAAAAATTTAATTTGGTTTGCTCTAATATTACCATCAGCCGATAAGCGATCAAGCATTTCTTTCCTTTTCTTCAGCGACATTGATTTGTACCCGCTTTCACAGTCTTTCTCTTTGTCGTCTGCTTGTAGAATTTCTTCCATCAAAAACAAATTGATATGTTAATAGAAATGCATTTAACGAGTTGTATTATTGTACAAATAATTCATTTTGTTGATTATAGACAGTTGTAAAAGAAAGTGTGTTTAGTGATATTTATCTATGGTTTTCATTTAATACAATGGGAAGCAAAGGTCACTTGTTCCGTTGAAATATACTTACTTACTTGAAATCATTGTTAAATAATTTATTTAAATTTGTAGATTTATATCAAAAAGAGGATCAAAGGGAGACACAGGCAAAATTTTCATTTTTAAGTTTTAAATTTGTCATTAATTATTCTGTAAATGTCCTAAAAATGAATACACTAAGCAGCAACAGGAACAAAACTTTTCTCCTAATAAAGAATAAAATCGTGGTTTCCTAACTTGACCCACGTGAGTCAGGTTAGAGCTTTAAGAATTGACAATAGTTGTCACAGTGAACTCTTGAAGCCTTAAATAACATGCCAAATGAATGATTTACGTTTGTTTCATTCATACGATATCCAAAATATCTGTTATTGTAACTTCCAGGATTTGTTTAAGTCACGCGACTAGTTTTAAAACTTCTCGTTGATTCTGTCTGTGTCTAAATTTCGTTCAACATATATAGATATATTTACACTTCAAACCCAATCTATAAAGAATTTATACAGAAATTAAGGCTGGCACTTTTACAAATGTCATTTAAGCATGATTTGAGTACATAAGATAATAGTATTATTCTAATATTTTTGTCAGTAATTTTCCTGAGTATCCCTTTAAGAGAAGTAATGGACGAAACCTTTCACCGATGTTTGGGCTGTCTTAAGGACACATTCTTGCATGCCTCCAACGTTTTCACCGTCAAAGGTTATTCGAAAATCACCCGAAAGGTTGGAGCAGTCTGCAATATTTGAAAATATTAATTGTTAACGAAAGTCATGTTTAATCTAACACGACTCGTGATTTTTTACACAAAAGGGATAAAATAAATTGTGTTAAACTGCCAATAAATACTTGCTGCTTATGGACTACATGTTCGCCTGTTCTTTTTATCTGATAAGATGAATAAACAATGGCAACACTAATGAAGCAAAATGATTGATATTAAGTTCCCACTGTGTTTTCTTTTCATATGCTAAATGCTAAAATAACATTTCTCATACACTGAAGCCAAAGGTTCCGAATTTTACATTTACCCGCATTAGTTAATATAAATAACGATAGACAGAAATAATTAGTAAGCACCATTCAGTAATGAATGCTTTATAGACCTTTGGTTTTCATAATTGGAGAATTTGCCTGAAACTGAATGCCATTGCTCATGCATCATTGGATTGATAAAGTCCCTACAGAATCATTGACCTTGTGGTTAATAATTTAACATGTCTGTCTCTTAACCCACAGTTCATGAGTTTGGGTCCTACTTGATCCACAACCATTTTTCCTCATATCAGACTTGTGAGTGGATAAAAAATAGCTTCAAGCTTTCTTCACACATATGCTAAACTAGATTAATATGTATCAACAAAGCATGTGGTTCAAACTAACTACATGTATTCCTGAACGTGTATTCAATAAAAGTGTCACATGTATGTCCCAATCTTTAAAGATCCTGTAACACAATTTTTTCATGGTTTTATTTCTAAAATATGATGCTCAAATTAAGATTTGTCAATATTGTAAGTTCCAACATTATTTATAAAGATATTACCGAATTTAATTCCCCGGGAGATGCTTTGGTAGTTTAGCGCGGAGGAAGGTAGTCTAGTACTGGTGTAACTCTCCAGGAACGATGGTTAGGAAACTACCCGCCTATATGACTGAAATACTGTTGGAAAAAGGCGTAAAATGAAACAAACAAACAAACAAACAAAAACTGAATTTAACATTTCATGTCAATAAAGGGAGGTAGTCTATCTAAGAAGTCTAATTTTCCGATAAGAAATGAATGCATATAATTTATTAAATAAATATAATTTAAGTACACATTTTACATATTCTTCGATGAGTGAAAATTGTTTTATTTGCATATTTATATATATATAATTTTTGCAAGTGTGGTCGAGTGGTTAAGGTCGCTGACTTGAGATCACAGGTCCCTCACCGCTGTAGGTTCGATCATCACTCGGGTCGAAATCTTACATAAGAGGAAGCCATCCAGCTGGTTTACGGAAGGTCGGTGGTTCTACCCAGGTGCCCGCTCGTACCTGAAATAATGCCGGGAGGGGCACCTGGGACCTCCACCAATAAAAGCTGCGTAAAAACTCGGCGGGACACTCTAGGATGGCCCGACTTGAGTGTACGGTCGCCCATATGGGCTTTCCGGCGGCAACCTTAAATAAACGCATTAATATATATATAAGTAAAATCTCTAAATTGCCGTATATAAGCAAAAACGCTAATTTAAATTTTCGGCCTTGCGGCCTTCTTCAGCAGCATTTATTTCACATACAAATATATCAAACAAAACAATGGAAGTGACATAACGTCAATGAACGACGCCCGCCGTGGCGTTGGTTTCCGTCTGCCGCGTTATTCTTTTGTATTAACTCTATACGGTCTATAGGTTCTTAATTTATTTTTCCACAAATTTTCTATTGTTTTTCTGTATTGTTCATTCCCGTATAGCTTTTCCAGCCCCATTATTGAAAAACCATTTACTGTGTGGTCGTTCGTATAAAAATGCGCCGCTAACGGATCGTTGTATTTGGTTCGTATTCTGGATAAATTAAGAAGGTGTCTTTGGTACAACGCATCATCTGTTTCTCCAACATAAATATAACGTTCGCAACGCTTACAATAAACTGCATACACAACATTCGTAGATTTGCACGTGATCTAATTTCGAACCTTATACGAGGCCCCGTTCACACCAATGAATGTGTCTGCTTCAATAACGTACAGACAAATCGCACACTTTTTGGATCTGCAAGGAGCACAGGAATTCGGCTGTTGAAAAAATAGTTTATTGTGTTTCTTATGAACGAGAATGTCTTGTAGGTTATTATCTCTTCTAAATGCTGCAATTGGTGGATTCGGGAATATATCCTTCATTCCATCTGAGGTGTGTAATTCAGGTAGGTGATTTTGTACTATTTGTCCTACATTCGGGAGCGCTTTGGAAAATGTCAGTACCAAGGGGATTCTTTCAGTGTATTCTTTATCTTCATTATAATGTAATAGGTCACTTCTTTTTTTACTATCTACTTTATTTAATTCTGTTTCAATATGTCGATCTTCATAGCCTCGTTTCTGTAACTGAGTTTTAATATTTTCTCTATGTTGTTTGTAAGTCGATTCATTAGTACATATTCGCTTAGCACGGATGGCAAGTCCATATGGTATTGATTTTTTTGTCGATTCCGGATGAGAAGAATTTTTATGCAAGTACAGGTGTTTATCTGTGGGTTAAGTGTATAGGTCTGTTATTGCCATTCTGAATCTTCGTCATTAGGTCGAGAAACTCAAGTTTTTCAGTAGAATATCTTAATTCTAATTCTATTCTTGGATGAAGGTTATTCCCAAGCTCATGGAATGCTTTTAACGACTCGATACCGTGAGTCCAAAGGCCCCAAACGTCATCAACATACCGGAAATACTCTAGCGGAAGTTTATCTGTTATCGTCATCAGCTGTGATTCCCATGATCCAAGATATGTAAATGCGTAATTCATCCCTAATCGTGAGCCAATCGCTGTTCCTTCTGTCTGCGTCGATTTTCTTCCATCAAATGAAAAAGTGTTATTTTCAAGGACAGTGCCCATCATACTAAGAACATCTTCTGTGGGTATGTTAGGGTTGGCACGTTGATTTAATGCACGTGCAACCGCATCTCGTGCCTCTGCCCGTGGGACACTTGGGTACAGGGCTTTCACGTCTAAACAGAAAAGAATTGTTCCTGCCGGAAGTGGTTGTTTAATATTCTCTAATTTTCTTAAGAAATCAGTGGTGTCTTTAATATATGAAGGCAGTGATGTCACATAGGCGCGTAGCTCCATTTCTATTATTTCTGCCATTTTCTTCGTAGGATGATTTCTCCCATTTACTATTGTTCTCAATGGCACCCCTTTTTTATGCAGTTTCGGATTACCTTGCAGTTTACCCGATGTACCACCAGACGACATCAAATATCCTTTTAAATGAAATTGATCCTTTCTTGCACATATCATCTGCCATCTTTTTCACTTTGTTTTCAATAGTTTTCGTTCTATCACTTCCTTCATATATTAAAAACACCACTGATTTCTTAAGAAAATATATATACAGAGTAACAATATCAATCACAAAACATACAGGATCTTTAAGAGTTAAAATATGTCCGGCCTAATCAACTTTGTATTGGTGGCAAGATCATGTTGGGCTAGGAAAGGGGAACCAGTTCTTAGCAAAGTCAACTGCACGAAATTAAAATATGATTTATGTAGCAACGAAAGAACTGAAATAACAAAATAATCTCATATAATAATCAATAAATAGGATACTTAAGTCAAAACATTTTTTCTCATATAATTATATCTTTTGTGACAGTAATATGAAGAATAAAACAGCCACCATAAATGAAATATGCAGCGGAAATTAAATCTGTATTAAAAAAAAAACATATCGGTCTTGTTTTTATCTTGTTAGTATCGAAATGATATCGGTCTGATTGTACTGCTTTATGGTCAATACTTACGATTCAAAACCAACCAAAGTTAAATAAATCGATAAAAAATGATTGAATGGTTTTCTTTTAAAGATCCTGTATGTTTTGTAATTGAGGTTGTATGCTTTGTGTGTGTTTGCGTTTGTTTACCCTTGCCAACGGAAAAAGTCCATATGGGCGAGCATATAATTCATTTATTACTTAAAAATAGGGGATCTGTTGTTTGTTTACTTTATGTTATATCGGTACATGTGTTATGTGCATACCATATCCCCAAAGAGGTTGTATACCACACTTGCGTGAAATTATATATGTATATAATTATGCTAATACAACAATTTTTAAACATCGAATAATATGTAAAATATGTACTGCAAATATTTGTACATATTAAAAGTAATCATTAAATTATATGCATTCATTTCTTATTGGAAAATTAGACTAAGAATTGATAGATAACACATTTCTAACTACCTCCCTTTAATTACATGAAATATTAAATTCGGTCATATCTAAATAAATTATGCTTTTTAAGGAACTTAAATTATTGATAAATCTTAATTTGAGCATCATATCTTTATATAAAACCATAAAAAATGTGATAAAGGATCTTCAATGTTTTCGAATAAAGCGTCATCGGTTGTCAAACTGTTCCGGCTGTGATTGAGGCATGAACGGATGGTTATATCAAAATGTATATCTTACTTTATTCGGTATCATACAAAGTAAATAACTCCATAATTTCCTAAACTTATCAAAGAACTTACTATCATCGTTTAAATCATCTGAATCACTGTATACGCCTTGATCTTCTGATAAGTCATCATCAGCTAGAAATTATTCAAAAAAATGTTTTTATAGTTAGCATACCTTAGGCCAATCTTATCTCAAATATTCCGTAAAACCCATCTTGATATAACAATAAAAGAAATATTTATCAAAATACATATTTAGAATTAAAATTATTTTCGTGTTGAATCTTACTTTCATTATATGAATACCTGTTCCTGATACAATAGTCGAGTGTAAGCTTGGTTGAAATGTAGCCAGCAAGTTCAAAAACGTGTTGACTTTTGTGTCACTTTGTCTTAAAATTTCATGAAGTATGAACTTTGCTATCCATGTTCTTGGTTTTCCATTTGAAACAAAATGTTGAAACTTCTCGAAGTCTATCAAGTCATTTTGTTTGCAATATCTGGCTATCAATGAAGGGCATAGATTTTCAACAAGTATCGAATAGTTAGAAATCAGCATCTTGCGGGAGTCAGTCTCACTATCTACAATTTATAGTATAATATTAAGGTATAAAATACACATATTGTAATAAAACAAATGTACACTATTTTATCATAAAATATTGACAAAGAAAGTTGAATATAGATAAAATAGTTAAAAGTATTTATTAGTTTGAAATTAATTCCATCTATATATTGGTATAATTAATATTGTAGAGACCATTTGGGACCTGATATTAACTATAAATATTCTTTTCATAGGACAAACCAAAATCTTTATCGCTCTAGATCAAATAATCACCAGGGCAATAGGAACAGTATCTCAAATTGTTCTGGCCGATGTCCACCTTACAGAAAGCAAAGTGACACAGGATGAAAACAAGAGAGAACACAGAACACTACGACAGTCGTTATAACATTCCAAGTTTCGCGAAAAAAGTATAGATACTTTGAATCTCGACATTGTATGCATAGCAGAGACACATTTATTTCGAAATCAATTTATGTCTATTTTGGTAATTCTAGAAACTTGTTACATGTCAAGGCCAGATGTGGGCCTGGGGGAGTTAAAGTTTTAATTAAAAAGCAACTACTTAGAATTTTTAACATTATAATGTTAGAGCAAATACAGAAAATAAGAATCCCTAAAGAAAGTCCAAAACGGCAAAATTGAAAATGTTGCAGGCTCGGTTTGATTGAGTCTGTTCATGGACTACCGCCCGCGCCCCCTACCACCGGCTAAATCAGAATTCAACATTTAAACACGAAAATTGTGAAATTTTGAATTTATAAACATCCGCAGACGTGTTCATACGGCAGTTATCATGATACCTTCAATGCGACACTTTCGTGCCATTCCATGAAAAGCGGCGTATGGTCCCAAAGTAAAAGAAAGCGTGTGCCCTGCACGAAAAATCAATGGGCGAAACAAAATACAGTCTTATTAAGGTATTTTATGGCTATCACTGCAAGATAAAATTTCTGGAGATGTTTTTGCATGTATGTGCAGCGTGCCTACCTCCGCAAGGATCAAGTAGATTTACTTACCAATATGTATGAATTTAAAAATTCAGGTAAATTGATATTTTGTGGGGTTTTTAACAGTCGTATTAGAGACATGACATATTTTATAGAAGGAATTGATGACGTAAATGACACACATGTTGTTGATTTTAACAACAATTTATAATGTGAATATTTCATTAATTTTTGACAGATAGTAATTGCTGTATTTTAAATGGCAGAAACTATACTACAAATGATTGTATGTTTGTCTGAACTCTGTTGTAGACAACATAATTATCATTTATGCACATCTTGATAAGTACCAAGAATTGAATGCTATAAAACCTCCATAATTACTTAGTAGAAATGTATCTGAATTTGATATAGAACTTCCTATTATACCGCATCATTCTATTATTTCATGTCCTTTTAAAATAAAGTCATTTGAATAATAGATATACATGTGGTAGTGATAGTCACACAGACATTGGTAAAACAAATCAAACTTTTCTGATGAATCTGAAGAAACATGATGTTAAAAATATTACCTAAGGTTTTTGTAATGATCTACTAACTCATAGTCCGTTAGAAACTATAGATAGGCTTGATATAGAAAATAGAAATCAAGAAGAAATAGACAATATTAACTCACAATTTTGTAAATTAGTTACAAATGAAATGCAAGAAAAATTGCAAATGTTCTATAATTAAATAAGGAACAAGGAAGGCGCGAAGAAGAGTGCGAAAGCCTTGGTGGATAATAATTTACCGGAGTAATGGAATGACTTGTGTGATGATGAAAAAACTTTGCGCAAATGTAAAGATGGTCATAAAAATAGATGGAAACATGAATTTGTTATTTTGACCGTACAGTTTAGAGTTGTAGAAGGTCTCACGGGTTAAGTATACAAACTGATTTATTATTACTTGCTAAAGATAATTCTCTTGATTTTTGGAAGTTTATTGGTAGAGTTGGAATAACAGATAACAAAATAAGTGATACCGGTATCCCTATGGAAGTTTTTGATAATAATAGTGTACTATCGCAAGAAAAAGATGTCGTATTTGATAAATGAAATGATTATTGTAATTTGTATAATTCAGGTAATGGTATAATGGTTGATAGTGAAAATGTTGATGTTAACTTGTCAATCAAGACTGATATTGATAATAGTATTTTTTATACAAGATTTTACCTAGCAAGAAGTCACATTAGCTGTAATAGACATTAAACGAAACATATATGTTGGTAATGATAAACTGTCTGGTGAAGTATTGAAAAACGAATTTTTAATTTCTTTTTTTGCATAAAGTACTTACCAGCTTTGAAAATATTCTCCCATACATAGTTCTTCCTTTCTTTTAACTCTTCAAGAAACAGTCTAATATTTTCTTCAGACTTTTTCAGAGCGATCTCAAGCATTAATTGTGTACCTTTTGACCGAGACATTGATCTTAGTTCGAGAATAGCTTCCTTTTCATGTTCAGAGAAGATTGTAAGATGCAGCAAACTTTTGGCGTCAATTTCCTCTTTTAAATACTCAAGATTGTCAGCTATACTTCTCCTATAATTTTCGTCTAAAGTCAAAAACAAAAAATCTGTTTTACTTAGGGAAGTAAAAAATTAAATGTGATATTCTGTATGCATCAATATTAGTTGTTACTACAAAAATTGCAAGTTTAATGATTCAGGATTAAGAAGATATTATTCACTGAATATCTCCAACTACATAGTGGGTATAGTAGAACTTATTTCATTAAGTTCAATGTAGATTTGACGAGAATATTTATACTTACTAGATGTAAATGTATTGACGATTTCCTACCTTTTTGATCATTTTCGTTCTTCAATGTTTTATCGAAGTTAACTGCCACTACCTGGACTTTCATATTTTCCACATTTTTATCCAACCCAATTTGCGAAAACACTATGCCTAAAACTCTTGATATGCCAGCCCTTAAACTATCTAAACTATCCCCAAATACTGCAGAAATTGCACCACGATGACAACCTCTAATCTTTAAGATAAGAGATCCTTCTGTTGCTTCGTCCAGTAGGCAAGCCGTCTCGGGAACAAGTATATCGTTAATACATTGCCTTCTGTCGTGTAAATTAAAAGTCTTGATAATTTCTTTATATATCTTCCTCTTTTTCTTTGGATCAAATAGTATTCTGATTTCACTCGAGTCAGCATCTTGACAATGAGAAAAAATAAATACGGCAATTTATCTGCTAAACTTTCCCTGCCAGGTAAATAACTAAACGTGTGTTGTAACGGATAAATACATATACAAATATATTTGATATCGTTGATATATAGTAAAAGTGTCAGTTATAAAGATGATAACTGTTTTAAATGTTGACCTATTTGGAAATAAGCTGTTGTTTTTGTCATGAAAAGAAATAGTATCTTGCAAAGGATAGGATAGCAAATATTTGATCTTTTATGAATGACAAATTGAGCAATAGCCTCAAATATATACCTTCACGTAGTACAGAGTCTTGGGTTTCTGCAAATAAACATATCAAATTAACATTTGTAAGGTTGACAGCTTCACTTGTACTTGGCTGCACTGTAAAGGAAAAAAGACAAAGTACAGAAAGTAAATTAAGCATTTCATTAAATAATCTCTACAAATGTGTCAAAGATGCACGGAAAAAATTGCAAATTGATTTATATTGAGTACAGAAATGATACGTTTGATTGTCATAACGATTGGATATTAGATAAAATCAGTCAGTCATAAGATAGAGTCATTCTTTGCATTAACTTAAATCATTGTTAATGAACATGTTTACCATTTGTTTGGTTCTCTACGTATTCAGAGAGGAGTTTGTACAGATATTTCTGTCCATCATCTTTAAGAGCTTTAAGGAAAATTGCATATCCACGTGGCATGTGCCGAATCGTTGCCAATATTTTCATCAACTTTTTTGCAGTTTGTCCCCTTGTCTTTTTTGAGACCACTTCTTCATACTCATCAAGTGAAAACTGGTTGTATTGAAATAGGTAATTCAGAACTATTTCGGGTTCCAATTCCTTGGTAATTTCCCTTTTATTATTCTTCAGAATATTTAAAACTTTCCACATCTCAGTTGTAGAAGAGTTTTCAGAATCCGAAATTTCTATTACATAAAAAAACACACTCGTTATCAATTATCAAGTAAAAGTAAAATTACGACTTTTATGTTTTAACAACCAAATTCCACAAATGTGTCGAAAGAACTTTAAATTAATAATATATTCTAATTGTTTCAATTAAAAAATGCAGATTTAGTATACAACATTGTCAAATGACAAATGATAATGTACTTAATTAAGTTTTCTTATATTTTACTTAATATTCTTAATAAGATTTTCTTTTTAAAAAAAGTTGCTGTAAGCTAAAACTTTTTATCATGGCCTGTATCAGGAAGTTAACCATTAACTTAACTACCTAATGTATTTTTATCAACTTCCGATTCTAATTCTCTTCTGATATGATCGTTGTCCGTTTTAGTTAGGAAATTAAGAAACCAAGAGAATGCTTCACTTTCCGATTTAAGAAGTATTCGCAGCATACAATCAACCTTTCGCCGTCTAGTTTGTTCAGAGTTGATAAGTTCGACCTGGTCTTCTGTGAAAATACCCTCCTGAATGAAGTAATCAAGAAGACCACATGCTATCTCTAGGTTGTCCTTGAGGTAGCAAAAATGCCGTCTAACTTTCTTTTCATCTTCCATCTTCAGACCACGTTTCTTAGCATATGCTCCTTCGGAAAGTAATACATCCTGCCCACTTACGAAAGATTCTTTGGTCTCATTTGTTTTTGTTTCTTTTATAGGCTTATCTTTCGCAATTATGTTCGGAGATTTGGTTTCGTCTTTATTTGTGTCTGCTGTGTTCGTTATGGCTACATGATAAGGCAAACGGTTAAGCTCTTAAGTTACTAATCAAGCATTAAATGTGAATTAAAAATATGAATTAAGAAATTAAGGTACTTCGACCGTGATCGATGATATGTTTTTATTTAAATTCAATTTAGTTATTTTCTGTCATCTAAGTAAGTGTCTGGTATCTGAAAACTGACATAGGTCAAAGTAAAGTTTAAAATCTGGCGTATGCTATGTTTGTCCGATTTCCCGTAATACACAATATACTTAACATTTCTTAATTCAATTAACTATTTTAATTAATGTGTTTGGAAAATCAAAATATGTACCATGTTATAAATTAGATGGTTGTTATTTCCTTTGAAAAACATAATCGGCTATATAAATAAAACTTTATATATTTTGAACTTACACGAATAGCCACTGCTTGTCCTTTCTGTAAAACAAAAGAAATACTATTTGTCAATAAAAAAATGTATGAACCTATAATAGTATACGTTGTTTATGAAACAATGAGAAAGAAAGAAACTGTTTAATCAATTTATATGAATAAAACGAATGAAATAAATTTATATTTACCCCTCTGTACCAGGATTGGGACATAATTGCCTCTTGGCTGGTCGTTTCTAAACCAAATTAATGAAGTGCCTCTAGATATGGTACATATAGCTTTATAAAGTTCAACACTTTCAAATTATCATTTGGACATTAAAACAGACCAATATTTGAGTAAGAATGTCTTTAAAATATAAAACGTATAATAACATCACTTCTTTACAAATCACAAATCGAGTTATCATTAATATAATTTACATTGATTTCTTTAGCTGTTGCATTTAAGTGTGACAGTGGAAAGAGAATACCGCCCACAGAAGAACTCGCATTTTACTAAATTTAGAGTTGGTGCTTCCAAACGCTAGTCTTCATACACTTTAACCGTGGTTTTTAGAGAAAACAAAGTACCCGTGTAGCGCATTTCAAGCACGCTTAAATCAGTCCATTTAAATGATTTTTGAAAGAAACTTGAAGGTCTTATGTTTGACAAGAATGCATGAATAATGTTAAGTGTTTCAAGACATATAAAAATTCAACATTGCAATTTGTTTCTAATTACTAGCTCTGTAACTCTGTACTTTATTCCCATTTGACTTTTTACAGTGATAAATTTGATTTTTCTACTTATATCCTCGACCATACCTTTTTTAGGACCTGCATGCGTGAAACAATACTTCCATTGATATTACAACGTAATGTAAGGTAGTCTAAGGAAGGAAGTGTAAACGTTACCCCGGGTTCGTCATGGCAGGCCTTTGAGTCATGAACATATTTTATCGATTAAAAAAAAGGTTCTGTGGTGCAGCATTAGGATTGAAGAAGATGAGATTGAAACTATATCTAACATCAACAGTAAGACCATATTACCTGCAGATTAAATTAATCAAGATGATATTGAATTGTTAAAAAGTAATCTTTTGAACCTTTAAAAACACTTATCATTGTTAAATAGACGCAACTCCAAACTAATTCATTTTATGGTTGCAAATATGAAAAAAGATTATCATCAGGGAATTCACGGTCAATTTATGAATACTCTCAAGTCTCTTTATACCGATTTAAAATCATGTGTCAAACTCAATAACAATGTCACTGATTTTTTCTCGTGCAATATCGGCACCCGCCAAGGGGACAAAACAAGTTCGACAATTTTTGATCTCTTTATAGATGAGTTGTCTGTCCTTTACATGAGAATTGTGAGAGTGGTATTTTTATCACAAATGATATACCAGATATTTTTTGTTTGATGTTCGCAGACGATGTAGCAGGGTGTGCCGAAACTGCATTTAAGCTTCAACAGCAAATAAATATTATTGACAATTTTTGTTGTGATACTGGGATGGAAATAAATATGGATAAGACTGAAATTACGGTTTTTCGAAATGGAGGTCCTCTTCGTCGATATGAGCATTGGTCATATCGTGGGACACAAATCAATATTACCTCTCAGTATAAGTACATGGGTATCTTACTTACATCAAGTTTGTCATGGTCATCCGCTCATTCTAAGTTAGTATCTCAGGCGCAAAGAGCTCTCTTTGCCATAAATGATTATCAAAGACCTTTTGGTTATTTTTCTGTTGTTGATTCTTTTAAGATATTTGATTCCATGGTCAAACCGATACTTTGTTATGCATCTCAAATTTGGGGCTATGAATATGTAGATACAATAGAATCTATTCATAATAAATTCTGTAAACGTATATTATATGTACGTAGAACTACTAATACATGTATGGTTCTTGGTGAATGTGGTAAATTGCCTTTATGTACTACATATTATATAAATTGTATTCGATATTGGTGTAATTTGTTAACCATGCCATCACATAGATAACATTATAATAACTTTAAAAGCCTACTTACTGTTGAAAAATATTTAACTATGGATATTCAGTTAAAATATAGAATTGCTATGTCAAAGTTTCGCCTTTCAAATCACAGGCTGAATATTGAATTAGGTAGATATAATAATGTTATAAAAGAAAATCGTATATGTAACTTTTGCCAACAGTTTAATAATGCTAATGTAATTGATTGTGAGTACCATGCCTTTTTTAAATGTGTTAAATATGATACTATTAGACAAATATATTTATTTAGCTGGTATATACATGGAACAGAACTTCAAGATTTCTATGCTCTTTTGTCTTCTCAAAACCCTGACATTGTTAAAAATATATCTATTTACATCTATCAACTTATGAATATAATTAATGATACTTAAGTTTCACAATATACAACTACTTGACATTTTATTATATGTTATACCTTATGATGTATTTTGGGCCGGAGGCCTTTATTTTCAAATAAATGATTTGAGTTGAGTTGAGTTGAGTTGTAACATATTTAGCCGAATTAAACGATTTTACCTTGGCAAATAGTCTTTACGCGTTCTGACGTTCCTGTTGTAATCTTCAGTTCCTCTACAAAGTCGAAAGGAAACTTACATTAATAGGTTTTTATCTTTTTCTTTTCAGTTGAATGAAAAACTGTCATTTTAAAAATTGGAGAAAGAAAAATTAATATACAATAATGTCTTATTATCTAAAATAGAACATATTAGGAAACCAAAGTCTTTATATGATTAAAGAAAGGAATTGAGTCGTCCTTCTCTTTTCAGTTAAGACAAAACATCATCAAACATTAAAGCATTGTGTGTAGCACAATCAGTGAGGTCGCAGCAAGCCAACCGAGCAAATCATGCATCTGTATAAGAAGTTGTTCTCTGGAAGTTTTTATTATTTTAATTATAATAACTTGAATAAACAATATATAAGCGGGACAAGCGTGCATTTTATGTTTTTTGTGTGTGTGTGTGTGTGTCTGTGTGTGTTTTTTTTTGCTGAATTTTTGCTCGACAGTTCAAAGAAACGTCGGGCTATTCTAAACACCAAAGCACCGGCTTTACACCGACTTTAATTTCAGTTTAACGTTAAAGTTATTGTTAAGCATCAAATCTCACCAACCAGTTCAAGATATTTTCTTGTAACTGTCCACGTCTTTGAAGTCATAACAGGTTACTATCAAGGACCATAAATCATATATTGGTTTTGACAAAACCATGACTTTTGTGAATAAAAAAGTCCTAATTTAAGTTTGCACGCAAAACTGATTTTTAAATTACTGAAGATATATCTTTGAAACATAACACATGTCTTTGAGATAAAAACTTTCACATTGATTTTGATCGAAATATGTATGATCCTTTGTGAACTAAGAAAATGTTTGTTTATGTTTTGCGTATAAAAGTATTCGAAAGTGCAGCAAGTGTCCACTCTAATTTCTAAACATGTCTCTTGGATCATAATATAAGTCACTGTCCAAGGTCATTAACTCTGACAAGGATTTAGACTGACTTATGGCGAATCTTCACAATATTTGGTTAAAGTTTTGCGAGCAGCATTTATCTCCGAACCTACTAGGTACTGAAACTTCATACATGACTTCGTGCCCAAGGTAACCAATGCCAATTACTCTGACATGTAATTCAACTAAATTAATGCCCTAAAAATTCTTTGTTTTGCCAGGAACACTTATCTTCAAATATTCTTTAGATATTGACTTAAAAGTTATTGTCTGCGTGACTATAATTTTAGTCACGCTCACCGAGCTGAGGAAGATTTTTTTTTATGTTTATTAATTTATTTTCTTATTTTATTCATTTTTTTATTTGGTGTAATGTACCAATGTCAAAAAATTGTTGGATTGTTTTGAAACAAAAATCATTTTGACCAAAAAAAAATACCTGGAAAAACATGTTGTCTCCTGGAACCGCAGCAAAAGTTACCCATCCTTATTTGCTGTAAAATAAATCAAAAATGTACTATTATTGCTTTTTTCACATGCATTTTACCCCGTTTGAATTGCTTAATTGTTAAAATTACGTTTTGGAAATTCTATGTCAAATATTGTATTGTGGTGTGAGAGCAATTTTTGACTCTTAACCAATGTAAATATCAAGTTAATGTTAGAATTAATGTCAACTGATGATTATAATACAACAATCTTATAGAATTATAATTAAAAAACCTGAATAACCTTGGAATCACCAACATCCAAAGTTTTATTTTTTGTCGTTTTTAAGTTTATTTGTATTAACGGCCTTAGAGATGTTGGATTACAAGTCAAATTGTTGATTGAATAATTGATTGTTTGATATTTATATTGATTAAATAATAGATTGTTTGATTTTGAGTGATTGATTGAATGGTTAACTGACTAACTGACTGACCGATTGGTTGATCGATTGATTGAATTTATTAGAGAACATAGTTTTATAGTGTATAAAATATTGATAGATACATTGAAGTTATTTGATTGTCATTGAAAGATAGTCAGGCTGTGTCAACTGTCAGGCCATAATACCCCACAAACAAAAATTTAGAATATTTCAAATTGTCAAATTTGTATTATAGATGACACAATTTTATTTGTTATAACCGATACAAATTTATCTGCCAAATCGGTACATTTTTCAATGCAACACGCGAAACCTTAACCCCTTTCTCATAATAATATTGCAACATTATTTCTACCGTGTAATAAATAGGATTTTATGTACTGACCTAAATTTAAAAAAAACGTATATCATATGATATAAGTAGAGCTGCATTTACTTTAATTTACTATTATTATCTATCTCAGTGATTTTTGTCATTAAATAAAGCTTTGCTTTTCATTGAAGGCACTGGCGTTATTCCAAAAACATTTTACATTTTGGTGGGTATATAAAATAAACTTAAAATACACAGTTTTGGCAAGTCTTCAAATAATTATAATCAAATCATTTTATAAGTCAGCATGTCAAGTTTCACTTCAAGTAAATTGTCTAATGATATCTTTATACGAATTACTGAGATTTAACTTATTCAATATTTTATTATGAAAACTAAGTTTTAATATGCATGTCGACATGCAAAGTATACTACATTACTAATTGTTTTAATTGTATGCTTTACAAAAATATATAATTATATCGCATTATTATAGGCCACTGTCTTGGAACAATTTACTTCTTACGGACTCAATTTTGATTTATGAATGAAAGTGTTCGACTGGTGTACTATTAGGTTGATAGGTATATGTTTGCATACTACAAATAACCCAAAAAAGAGTTTTATAACGACTGACAATATTACTCAAGAAATTTACTTCGCGTTTAATTCTGATTCAATCATTGGTTATATTGATTAATGAATGTTTAACTGCCTTTTAATACACATACTTTTTGAATATTTTTATCTATTTGCTAAACTTGAAATGATTATAGCAAGTATATAAATAATCATAAAATACATAATTATAGACTGACAAAGGTAGCTTTAAGATGATAATTGCTTGATGAAAATAAGTATTTTCAATTCTACATGTCGAAATCAATTTTTATCACGGTGTATGGGACCGTACACCGGATTTAATCGTGTTCTGAAGAACATTTTGAGTTTGTTGTTCAATTAAATGAGTATATATTTAATTATTTTATTTCAATAAAGTAAAATGAGAGTCAGTTGATTTTCATGTAGGTCAATATTTTCAACAGATTCATGATAAATTTGATGTCAGATTGATGTTTGATTAAATCATACTAATTAACACTAGTAACAGTTGTTTAACATGTCGTCAATGAAATAAAATAAAATACAATGATTCTATATACTAGTAATCTATATGCGGTTGTTTATTTTTCTTCTTTGAAATGGTAATATATGCATCTCTCCTATCACAGTGTTAAGTTAATATATAAAGGTAGTAGTATTATTGATTTATAAATTTACCTTTAGCCCTTTTCCTTTTTAATGAGATCAAAGTCACTTATTAAATAGAATCTAATTAGCTAACACACTTACCTTACAAAATCACATTTCCTTCATCTTCAGGAATTTGGAAATCCAATGTTGCCTAAATTAGAAGTAGTACAATCAATTTTGGAACTGGTCCAGAATATGTGAACGTCTCCTTTTAAAAAAAAGTTTATTGTTGAGAAGTGATAGCTTTTTTTCCATAATTGCCTTTTTCATAGATGTTATCCGATTAGGTTTATCAATGTATGATCTTTAAATTTTATAAATTAACGTCCTTTTAACACTCATTTTGAATGACCTATTTAAAATATTAAACTGGTAGTGATAATCAATTTTAATTACTTCGGCTGAATACTGTAAATAATGAAAAGTAATACAGTTTTAAAAGATACCAGGTCATTTTATCTTTTTGTCATATATAGCATTTGTAAATCATTTTCGTTATTAAACTTTACAGGTCCAGGATTTTTTTTTGATATCGGAAAATTGCAAGGTATAAAATTTGTAAACGTGAACATTCGAAAAGGGACATTTTCTGTAGGAAGTATGTCAATTAATCGGAAATTGTAAGTATTAATACGAATTTTAAGGATAGGACAGACAGTCTGTCATACGGACATTGAAGTTATAATGAATATTTAAAGTTTCTGTAGTAAACGTGGACAAGTCGCATAGGAATTTAAAACAAGAAGTATCTTTAAAAAAAGATACTCGACCGAAGTCAAACTTGTTAACTTGCATAGGATAAGCTACCACTAATCATGCTAACCGCAAACAGAACATTTTATTCCTCCTCAATAGTTTTATTTCAGTCATTTTTACCCGCAATGTTTTCCCCATTAATTTAAACAATATAACTTACATTATTTGATTTAAATCAAAAATGGAATTTGATTTGAATAGGAATTCATAATAAAACATTTAGTAGATAGTGAACACTAATTTCACGGAGAATTTTGCAACTGAAAATTCGTATCAATCGTCTTATGCCCGGTTTATTTTGACTTGTATCTTCTTCCAACACTTCTTGCCGTTGAGCAATCGAACAGTTTGAAAGAACTATGGAAGCTCTTCTAAAGTTTCAACCGAACAGGCTATTAGTGTTAAAATGACCAATGGAAATTTTGCCTATATTCATTTCTTTACTGTTAATTTAAGCGGAAGTCAAGGTGAAATGAGACGCACTTCGGCCGAAAAGAAGAAGACAACTCGGGTCATGCGGGGATGTAAGGAAATAAATGGAAACCTTTTCGCCTTTGTCAACGTCATACAAACGAATGCCGATTCGCATACTTACAAACTTGGTTCTCGTTTGTTTTTTATTTAATGATATCAATGTAGTAACATTGCCTTTCAGGTATCTAGACATATCCTGCTTAAATGTGCAATGACAGGCGTGTTGTGTGGTGTTGACATCTGATGTAATTGTCTATCTAGAATGCTATTATCCAATGACAGCAGAAGCGGAAAGATTAAAGAAAACGCATCACATGCAAATAGATTTATTGAATATAAACATTTTATCGAAATCGGTTAGTATTTGTTGAACTTGAATAAGAAAAAACATAGCGATTGCAAGACCGGACGAACGTTAACAGCATCACAGGGATGGTGCTGT